TAACAGAAAATGTAGCCCATAAATTGAGAGACAGTAATACAACATTCTTAAACATTACAACCACATGAGATGTTGAAAAATAAGACAAACAAGAAGAAAAGTCAAACCCTGAGAGAACCAAGTGAAACGTCACATGACAAATCTTTTGAGTTTGGCAAATCATTTGAAAGTCAGATTTTTGTCCCTGATCTAAGTTTCGAAGAGTTGCTGTAATTCCACTACAACTTAGAAGCCCCAAAATGGAAATTGTTGCATCGCTAAAGTACATTTTGTGTTAAGTTTGTTATTGTGATAGTTTAATGAAATGAATCTCAGTTTTTTAAGAATATATCTGTTCGTATGACTAGTGTTTGCATGAGGAACATGTAAACATACTTCTGTCTGTGCTTCTTTGTAGATGTCTTGAAAACTGTCACTAGTATTAACCAGTGGTCCCATAGCCAAGTGCTCGTCCTCGATGTCTCCAGCCATCTGCACAACAAAACAAAGACAATCGGGAATCAGTCACAGCTGTCAATCATGGTGTTTCAGCCTGCATTTATAGCACCAAATAAGTGATTAAAACCAAAGTTACCACAAAAATGAAACACTCCATATATCAGTGTGATAAGAACCAGGTGAGGTGCTTTGGCTTCACTGGTGGCAAGAAGTCATGTCGTTCATCTTTTCCTCTTTATGAATCTGTGTTAGTTTCAATGGAAATGCAGTTTTGATGCACCCTGCTAGCTTATGCGGTTTGTAGTGTTGTATTTTGGGGTTGCAATGATGTGAAAGGAACAAAAAGTTCAGCATCAATACAAGCACTGCAGTCTGCCTGGAGAGAGATTCGGGGCCAATGTGAATCTCTTCTAAGGGGGCAACTTCAACTCCTCGTTTATATAGGAGGGTTGTTTTCATGAATCTAAAGAGAGACTTTAAAGTCAATGTTGTATTACCTCAGAATGATAGACCAGCGCAGCAACTTCAGATACAGACATCAACAGACTAATCAGCATCATTCCAACTGTGAACTGGCACACAAACATACAGGCATAAGCAATCAAATTCTGGAAAACAGTTAACAACACTTTAGAGCTGTTTACCACTACTACTACTTGATTACCCACCAATATTAGCGCCCACATCTTCTTTTGGCAGACACCAACCAGACCAAAAATGGCCAACAGCAGAGGGACAATGGAAATAACATACAGGATAAAGAAGCCGGCACGCATCTGTGGAGAAAACTAAGAAGGAAAATACTTGAGTTTGAGTTAGTGTTATATTAGAATATATAAATCATCCAATATCAGAATGCTGCCATGTATGGAGCTGCAGTTTAGAGAACTGGACCAGTGGAAATGCCGAGGTCAGGTTACATAAACACCCACTTCACACAGAGCAGAGTTATCCCAGTACTTTCACTGATTGCAGCTTCACTTTATCCTGTCTGGTGATATGAAATACGACATTGCATGATATGGTTGGAGTGGATTCACTTTTTGACCTGGTGTTAGAGTCCGTCCTAATGGATCCACTCAAGAGTGATCAGCTGTCTGTCTGTTCACGCCCTCCCACGCAAATAAACATGTCATTAATGTTTGTGAAGACCAAATTATGCACATTTTCAAAGAATTATTATTATTATTTCGCACATACACATCCCGTGATCGCTAAAGGAGGCAGAGGAGTGACTAAACATCGAGCACACTGAGCAGGAGAGAGAGAGGGAGAAGCCATCGTTAGATGACACGAGCAGGCCTTGTGTGTAAGACAGTGAATGAGCGAACAGATGATTCATTAATAGAAACAGAAAAGGGAGAGACGAAGAAGAGATCGATACAACAGACGCCAGCTAACACCGGAAGTGACACAATACGCTGAGGGCAATAGCAGCTAAAGTTTCACATGGCATCTTTTCACCAGGGTGCCACATCAGACCCCAAACCCCACTTAACTCTATTGTGCAACACGTGGATGTATGGGTGATACCTCTTCTGTTTCGATGAGGAATCCGTGGACGAACAGAAGCACTGACAACAGTATGACACTGATGATCTGCAACACCAGCAATGCACACAGGGCGTTATTCATTTTATTAAAAAAGAAATGTAATCATCTTAATATCTATTCTGTACTTGGCAAAGAATTAAAAAAAAAAAAAAAACTTACCGCGATGAAGCTAACCACGGTGATGTAACTCCGATACAAACAGATGTTCACTTTCCCCATTTTCCCCAAGGTGCTGTACGTATAAAATATATCTGGAGAGAGAAGAAGAAGAAGATTCCTGCAGAAACTTCAAATCTGGCTTGATGTTAAATGGTAAATGAGGGAGGAGCCCCAAGTTGTTTTGTCGAAAAGCTCTGGCTGGTGTGTGTGAGTGAGTGTGTGTGAGTGTGTGTGAGTGAGTGTGTGTATCATCCACTGAGCACTGTGATCTCATTGAAGGCTTTACTGGCTGAGACCCTCCTCTTCCCTGCCCCCTTACATCTGTTTGTGATTATATCTGAGAGAGTATTTCCGTTTGTACTGTTTCCATTTATATTGCATACATTTTATTTAATTTGTTAATGTTAATGTTCAATTTGCACTGCTCAGTTTTGCACTATCCTCACCTTATTCACCTCTTTCGCCTTTGTTTTTGTCTTACTTTTAATTCCCAGGGAAACGTGTGTTCTCGTGTGTATTTGACAATAAAATCTTTGAATCTTGAATCTTGAAGTGATGGCCAGAAGCCCAAACTTTAAAGGGATAGTTCACCCAGACATGACAATGCACTCATCATCTACTCACCACTATGCCAACGGAGGGATAGATGAAGTGTTTCAGTCCACAAAACACTTCAGGAGTATCAGGGGTAAACTTTTTTGCAGCAGAATCCAATACAATTTAGGTCGATGGTGAGCTATTATTCAGACGTAATAAAATTACATAAAAAAACATTATAGGACATAGCTACCTCTGCCCAGGAAGTAATGCTTCCATCAGTGCTTGTTTGTTTGTTAGGTATTCAGCAGGTTTACGCAAAAACTACTGAACCAGTTACATGAAACCTAGTGGAATAATGCAGTCTGTGTCTGGAAAGTTTCCATTGTAATCTTTGTGCAGATCTAGATCAGGGGGCAGATCCCCGAATAGTTCCTTTTCCACTTTTTTAACATTGTGAGCGTTTCTCAACATTTTCCTTGAATTCTGAGAGAATAATTTATGGATCTTTAAAGAAAGGTCAGGCATAGTTTAGAATGTCATATGTATTTTAAGTCATATGTTTATATTGTATATATCATTACACTGGTTGCACTGTTATTGGAGTGGTTTTTAAGAGTCCAGAGTCACTGGAGGGAAAGTTTGCAGGAAGTTATGTAACTCTCCTTTAGTCTCAAGATGTGTGTTCCTGTTAACCCGACGAATCATTTCCAGTCAAGGCTGTAGGGTTTTTATTTTCTTTTGTAAAACATACATGGCCTGATGAGTGTGTGTGTGTTTGTGTGTTTGTGTTTATACACAAATAAAACATAAATGGCCTGATATGTGTGTGTGTGTGTGTTTGTGTTTATTTATACACAAAAAGAACATACATGGCCTGATGTGTGTGTGTGTGTGTGTGTGTGTGTGTTTGTGTGTGTGTGTGTGTTTGTGTGTGTGTGTGTTTGTGTTTATTTATACACAAATAAAACATACATGGCCTGATGAGTGTGTGTGTGTTTGTGTGTTTGTGTTTATTTATACACAAATAAAACATACATGGCCTGATGTGTGTGTGTGTGTGTGTGTGTTTGTGTTTATTTATACACAAATAAAACATACATGGCCTGATGTGTGTGTGTGTGTGTGTGTGTGTGTGTGTAAAACATACATCGTCTGAGAGAATGGCACAGAATCATTTACTCATTGTAATTGTGTCTTTACCTTTATGAAATAAAATCTCAGATGTTGCTCAAAGCGACTAGAAAAGACTGTGTCGATTTCTCAACAGAAATAGCCGACACACAATCTATGAAACCATAACAGCAGAGTATTGGATTGAATATTTAAACTTCTATATAAAACACACATGAACAGAAATGAAGCAAATTCTGCTCCGGATCATAAACACGAGTAAACAAACAGGTTTTAAACTGGCACTGCACAAGTATAGACAAATAAAGCTATTACCCTTCTGATTATTTGACCTCATGCTCAATATTAGGACTAGTTTATTCCTAGTTTAAACTTATTTAAGGCAACACAGCTCCTCTTTAAAAGTCAGTTTTCCAACATGATCGCTCGCCTGCTCCTGTCCCTTTAAGAAACGTCACCTGACGCGTCACGTGGTGCGGAAGTGGCCGGACTCGCCTCGGCGTGCTTGTGTTTACATCAACAGCTCCTGGTTTACGCGGCACATGCAGGTTCGTAGAGTAAACAAACAGTCGCCATTCGTGAATAACGCGTTTATTTCCCCGCTCACAGGCAGAGATGCTCTGTAATGTCCTCGCTAAAGCAGCCGCAGCTCTTTGTCTGCGGCAGTCGAGGTAGGGTTCATTTGTAGGAGACGGAAATCACTGTAAATAGGAAGAAATAAGCAGAAATACAAATCATGTCATCGGTATAAGAATGTTCAAATTATTTATTAGTTTCGTACCGACTCTTATTTCCCGTTTGTGTAGATTCAACACCGTATTTTCTTCTTTTTCCGTTAAATGTTATGTTGTGTCTTTGTGTTTAACTTTTCAACAAATATCTTTGCATCTTCCTAATACTGTGCTTGCTCTCTGTGTTTATCTCTGTGTATTGATTTTATACATTTATATATTCTTATTTCTTGTAGTTTTACTTTACATTTGTACAAATAATTTGAACATATATAGTGTGTTATGTGTCTGATACCTGGCTGCTGTAACACAGGATTTTCCCAGTTTGGGATTAATAAAGCATCTAACCATCCATCCGTCTATTCATCCATTTATTCATACAGCTATCCATCGATCTGTCTGTCCATCTTATCATCCATTTATCCATCCATCTACCAATCCGTCTGTCCATCCATCTATCATCTATTCACCCATTTATCCATCCATCATCTATCCATCCATCTGTCATCCACCCACCTATCACCTCATACCTGTGTCACCGTTGTATATATATTTTCTCTCTTAGCTTAAAATTGTATAAATTGTTCTGCATAACTTATATCCATTTTCTTTTGTTTCATTTTTTGTTTTCCAACATGTCGCCTCTGTGTTTCTCAGCTTTGAGCCGACTCCCTGCAGAGTTTGGATGAAGTGACCATGAGGCAGGACGGTGATGCTGTGAACGTCCCCGCGTGCTTCATTTCCAGCCATGAAGGTTTTCTGGGAAGCATCAAAAACTTTATCAAAGACTTTGTTGTGACAGAGATAGATATTAATGGACAGCAGGTGAATCAAGAGGCCGCAGCAGGTTGTGCCTCTGCATATAAACCCAGTGAGACCACGGCAAGATTTCCGCAGAATAATCATTCCTTCGTCTCACACAATACGTATGTATCGGCTGATTGTGGAATAGATGTAGCTCTGCCGAGTCCAGGCAGTTTCGATCTTGGTGTGATTTTGGGCCAGTCGGTGAGCGATGAGCTTGAGCAGTTTGTTTTGACCCTGAAAGATGAAAAGCCGACGCAGCAGGAGCTGTCACTGGGATCTTTTGCCGACAAGCACCACAGAGCAAACGTCCACCGGGCTGTCAGGCACCGCTTCCCCTTCCTCATGACCGTCACCATTCAGCCAGAAATCCGGGTGAGGGAGGACCCAGACTACAGGGAGCTCTCCCAGCTGGTCACAGAGGATGAGGCGGAGGACTTCTTCAGGTTCATAGACGCCAAAGTGCGGGGCTCGTCCTACACCTTTGGGCCTGACGACGACAAGGACCACAGGACGGCGGTCCACCACTTTCTGAGCCGCAGGTTCGGGAAGCTGGTTGAGACCAAGAGCTTCAGCGACCAGGGGAGCACAGCGATCTCAGTGAGACTGAGGGAGCGGGGTAGGCCGAAGAAGAGGAGCTCAGAGGAACGGAAGGAAGAAGAGGTTTACACTGGTAAGTTGTAGGATGGTAAAAAAAGATGACCCTGAATGCTCAATCAAACTCACATACCAATTCATATCTTTAAATATGTTTAATGAAATAAAGAAACAGCGATGTGTGATGCTGTGTGTGTCCTCTTGTGTCAGCGTTCACTCTGCACAAGGAGAACCTGGAGACCCTGGAGGCCATCAGCTACATGGCTGCAGCTCTTGGCGTCTTGCCGTCGGACTTCACCTATGCTGGGATCAAGGATAAGAGAGCCATCACCTACCAGACCATGGTGGTGAAGAAGGTGTCACCTCAAAGGTAGTGCTGCGTTTCTTTTCTGGTTAAACCAAAACAGGTTGCAACTGAGTAATTAATGTCATAAATCTGAATTTATGTATTTGATGTCAAGGCTGAAAGAGAAGAGGGCAGAGTTTGAGAAGAGGGGGATGCGTCTGACTCAAGTCCGCTCTGTCAGCGAGCCCCTCAGGCTGGGACGACTGCAGGGGAACCACTTTGACCTGGTGGTGCGCGACCTGAGACCGCACGGCTCCAGCGACGCACACACGTCTGATGCAGAGAGACACACTCGACTGGCAGCGCTGGTGAAGGAAGCTGTGGAGAACGTCAAGGTATTAGTCCTTTTCTTTGTGCTGGAAATACACATGTGAACAAAGAGTTTACTCAGGCTTTGTCTGACACTGCTGCAGATACTTTATTAAGGAATTTTAACCCCTTCGTTTCCACACGATAAAGTCTACATCGATGATCCATCAAATACCAGAGAACACTAACAGTATGATCAAACTGCTACTTTCTGTTGCTGCAGGACAGAGGTTTCGTCAACTACTACGGACCACAGAGGTTTGGGAGTGGACAGAGCGTTCAGTCTGACCGAGTGGGACTGGCTTTACTTAAAGAAGACATGGTGAGTGTTACCCAATACTGTTAAATGAATGTGAGCTGCCACTGACCCCAGCAAATTCAAGTCAGATGTCCTTATATCACACAGCAAAAACAACAGGAGTCAAGCCAAATATGGATTCAATTAAAATATGTAGAAGAGACAAATAAAGTAAAAGACATAAGTCAAAAAGACAAGTGAAGCTATGTGTCCTTTCAGTCGGCCTTTTATTGCTGTGGTTCTAAATAGTATATTCTTGTGTGTGTCAGGTGAGCGCTGTGCGTCTCTTCTTTACTCCGGAGGACGTCAATGATCCTCAGAGCAACGCGAAGAGACACTTCCTCCAGACAGGTGAACGCTGGGACGATAACTGACTGTTCCGATTTTTCCTCAAAAATTCACAAATATAATTTGTTTTAAACTAGGTTTGTAGAAACTATGAATATCTGTTCATGTTGCAGTCCAGTTTCTCAAGTAATTTCTACTGAGGTCCTTCATGCATTCA